CCCACAAGTGGCCAGAAATTAATACTTCTGTGGAGCAGGATTTGTGATAAGTATTATTACTACTTGGTTTTTATATTGCTCATAATTTTTTTTTTTTTTTTAAGAATGGGGCTCCCTGTAGCCCCAGCTGGCCTGGAACTCACTATTTAGATCACATTGGCCTCAGTCTCACAGAGATCACCTGCCTCTGCCTGCTGGGGTTAAAGGCGTGCACCACCAGCCCAGCTTATTGCTCATAACTTATAAGGAATACTACAGACATAAAGTTAAAAATAACTCCAAATTAACGCCTAGCCCTTTAAACACACCTAAATCCACTGCCTGCACTTGATGCTCAGCTGTCACTAGGCAAAGGATAACTAAGAGTGCACTCCTGGACCCTTGCTCCCTCCTCTGCAGTGGCAATCTGCACTTACCCACAGAAACCTGGAGCTTCATCCAACTGTTTACCAAACACGTCCTCAACTTCCTCATCTGTGCTTAGGTTTTCCTCTCAGCCCGGAACGTCCTTCCTCCCCACCACTCCTAACTCCCTTCCCCCTTTCCACCCCACAGGCACACACATCCTGCCAAAATCTGTCCACTCACATGGCAGCAACCAAATACCACATTCCTCACACAGCATTCCCAACCTCTCAGGTAGAATTAAAAGTTATGTCCTTGATTCCTCCAGTAATTATGTACATATTTGACTTTGGTTCTAATTACAATGTGTGGTATTAAGATCCTCAGGGATACATACCAGGTCAGTCACCTTCAACTTACTAAACATCTAGGCCAGCACCTCTGACACTGCAGGACTTCCCCAACACAACTGTAAGATGATAATGTTTCTTAGCCGCTGACACCTTCATAGGGCATTCAAGGACACTGCTCCAGAAGCCCTCTATTCATCATCCCCTCTTAAAAGGAGGACTATAGAGTTCAATTTGTTTACTGAGACTGTTCTCAAACATGCAAGAATAGTTGTAAAATTTGGTTTGACTATTCTTCCATCTCTTCAGAAATTCTCCCAGGTTAAATCCTTCCTAAGAACAAAGATTTGGCATCAGACAAGGCTGGCTCAATCTCAACTGGGTCTTCTTAGGAAGCTATTTAATTTCTCTGAGCCTGTATTTCTTCATGTGCAAAATGGGAAAAATAGTACCTATGATGCAAGAGTTTTGGAAAATTAAATAATATTGAATGAAAATTAAATACAATTAGAGCTGGGGATGTAGCTCAGTGCTACAGCAATTACCTAGCATGTGATGGAGCTTGGGTTCCATCCCCTGACCCACAAAAGGTGGGTGGGGGACAGGAGGGATAAAAAGGAGAAAACAGAGATGTAGCTTAGAGAAGAGTGCTCGCCTAGCATGCATAAGGACCTGGGTCAACTTCCTGTACTGCAAATAAATGAAATAAACAATTCAATGTGTTTTTTTTTTTTTAAAGGGGGAGAAATTTTTTTTTAATTTTTTCCTTATGTGTATGGTGTGCATATGTGTATGTATTTGCATGTGTGCTGGGCACGCATGCATGAGGAGGACAAACACTTAAACATCAGAAGTCTTCAATTACTCACTACCTTATTCACTTGAGCCAGGGTCTCTCAATTGAATCCAGAGCTCACCAATAGGCTGGTCTAGCTAGCCATCTTGCTCCAGAGTTCCTCATCTTCCAAGCACTGGAATTAGAGATGGACCTCCCCCTGATACACACACACCCAGCACTTCTGTGGGTTCTGAGGATTTGAACTCAGGATTTGTACTGCAAGTGCTCTAACTCCTGAGCCATCTTCCCAGCCCTAATTGAACCTCTTATCTGTTTAACAGAATGCCTTGCCCTTAACCAGTTGTCAACACAATGAGCTATTATTTTCACAATCAAGTTACTAGTTATATATGAGCTGTTATTTTGGAATTATACTACTACCATTATCATTCAAAGTTTACTGATGCCAATACTGATCTACCAATATCAAAAAATCATATGAAAACTAAGGAGTCCTCTACCAAAGAATGAAATTACATTCCAATATTAAACTCAATAAATTCATATATTTAAAAATTGCTAAATTCAAGTCCTACATTAGCAATAATGATTTAAAAGTGCTCCTCAGTCTTCACTCAACTCTCTGGAAAAAAATCATCAACAGACTGAACAGAAAACCAAATTTCACATGGCAGAAATAATGCAGCATCAACTCAGACACCTAAGAGAAATATTAGTGTTCAAATGCTTCATGATCCTAGATTTGTCCTTTTGGGCTCATTTTCTAAAAAAATGATAGGAGCAAGCAGTCTATCAATGAACTACATCCACAGTCTTTTTTTGTTATATGATAGCTAGACCGTTCATCTGTGAGGGCAGGGGCAGTATCTTTGAGGCATTCCACCCCAAGTATCAGAGCAAAGGCCAACAAATATAACTGCTTCAACAGAAGACACGTGACTTAGGAGGATGGGATAATTACAGGTATAATTTTTTTCTTTCATTTAACATTTCATTCATGTTACTCAAATTTTGCTTGTATAGTAAAAATTTAATGAAAATAATAATTTTGAACATGGAGTGGAAACAAAACTACATAACAAATCATTCATAGCTAAATTATCAAACACTAAAACTTTACAAGTACCTGTCTCTTTCCTAAAAGAAAAAAAAAATGACTCTATGAGAATCAGTAGTCTCATAGACTGTGCTAAAGGAATAAACTGTTCTTTCTTTAGCTGGAGTGAAATCCAGCTTCTCACAACAGCCCACCCACTGACCATAGTTTAAACCTCTACCAATGGAACAGTATACTTTTCTGTATATGGACCATACCCTAATAAACCATTTTAAAACCACTCTTCTTTTGTTAGCTCTAGCATTCACCTGCTTTCAGCAACCACTGAGAGACCTGAGTGACTCCATCTTGGATAAAACCTCCATAGTACTGACCCAGCCCTGGGCCCTGTTCCAAGAAAAACCACAATACTTGGAACAGATAGAGAACAACTCCCCCACCAATGGTCAATTAACCAGGGACAGGAAAGTACTAAAAGACCAGATATCTTTTCAGATTTCCTGAAGCCAGCAGTTTATGGTTTGGCACTGAGCTGCAACCAATCAGATGCTTGCCAGGCTGAAGACCCCCTACTGAGTGACTCCATCTTGGATAAAACCTCCATAGGACTGACCCAGCCCTGGGCCCTGTTCCAAGAAAAACCACAATACTTGGAATGGATAGAGAACAACTCCCCCACCAACGGTCAATTAACCAGGGACAGGAAAGTACTAAAAGTCCAAATATCTTTTCAGATTTCCTGAAGCCAGCAGTTTATGGTTTGGCACTGAGCTGCAACCAATCAGATGCTTGCCAGGCTGGAGACCCCCTACTCCCCTACTTGCTGAACTTGCTGAACTTAACCTATAAAAACCTCTGTCTCCCAAAGCAAGGGGTCTCACATCTGAGATCCGCTGAGTCGGTGACAGAGTGGGCCCAAGCTTAAGCTTGCAACAATAAAAGACCCCTTGTGTGTTTGCATCGGTCGGCTCCTTGGTGGTCTTTGGGGTCTCATGAACTTGGCACAACACCACTACTGTTGCTGATTAGAGATCAGGAAGAAGCTAAGGGCAATGACTTCACAGATGTGCCAGGTAGCTGCAACCTGAACTCTAAAACTTACATAAAAAGGATTTTACTTGTACAGCATTGGATAAGTTATCTAACCTCCTCTATCTCAATTCCCCTCAACTGGGAAACTTAAGGTAAGACTTCAAATGTTTATAGAATTAAACTGAATAACTCGGAAAGAGCATATCTCAGTTCTTGGAAAAGGAATGTTAATTGGCAAAACTACCATTGCTGTCTCACTTGCTAGACAGGAAAGCTCCCTGTAGTAATATATTTCTTTATATCTCCACAGCTTAGCTCATACAAGTTTTGACAAACCCAAACTTAAAATCATGATCCCCAAATCTGATGAAGAGGTCCCCTCCTTTCACTTATTCCTTAATACCCTGAATCTAGACCACCTATCATTCACTCCAACCATAACTCTGGCACTGTCTCCAACACTAGACCCTTGTGAGCAGGTTTACCTTGTTCACCACTGTCTCTCCATCCCCTGCATTTGAACATTAGCTAGTTCTGTGAACAAACAGATATTTTGGTGGTGGGCATTTAAAAAAAAATCAAGGTATTTACCATCTGCTTCTGCCCACTTCACAATGAAACCAAGGTCAGCCAATCTCTCACATCTGTTGTACTGATTACCCTGGCTGGACCTGCAGTAACAAAGGCTCCTCAACATTTGTGAAAGGATTTTTTTGTTCTTGCTCTTATGTTAAGATTGCTGCCGGGTGTGATGGTGCAAGCCTTTAATCTCAGCACTCCAGAGGCAGAGACAGGTGGATCTCTGTACGTTCAAGGCCAGCCGGGTCTACATCTACATAGTGATTCCCAGGCTAGCTGGGGCTACAGGCATACTCTGTCTCATAAAGACAAAAAACAAAACAAAAAAAACCCTGCTGATTCTCAGTTTTCCAAGTAATTAATTAAGCAACGAACCTTATTTACTGACTCCACAACACAGCTTTTTGTGCTCCTTATTTTGTCAAAGCCTAAGCTTGAAACAAAATCAGCATGTTACTATGAAGTGAATGAATGAATGGATATGTCATTTTCTAAGAAAAATACTACAAAATGGCACAGGGACAGGAGGGTGTAAGTTATTTCCTTACCCGTACTTATTAACAAGCTTTCTCAAACTCAGGGTGATTGTGGTTTATAAGGAAGCTTTTCTTAAGTAAAGACAAAAACAAGGAGTCAAGTACTCCTCGTTCCCCTGGTGTCTGAATTCCCGTCAGGACCCACCTGGCTTCGAGACCCTCAGGAACCCCAAGGTCTCGCTCTACCAGTGACCTGAGGCCAGACCAGTGCGCAAACCCGGAAGAAAGCTCCAGCGTAGAGAAGCTGCCACGACTACCGCACAGACTCTAGCACCCGGCACCCAGCCCTGCCCCACACTCACCACCAGCGAGGCCGTGAATCCCGGGCCGTCCATGGTCTCGCCGATCCCGCCAAGGCCGGGGTTAGAGGCTGAGCAGCAGCCGGTGCTGACCCAAAGAGCTGGGCGCCGCCATGTTGGGGGTGGGACTTAGACAACTGCTTCCGGGGGCCCGTGACGTCATGCCACAACAACTCCACGTGCACCGCTGGAGCCCTGGACCCTTAGCCGCACCTGAGCAGCCCCGGGGCTAGGGGAGCCCGCATCTCTGAGCCCCGGCTTCCCGCCGCCGGGTCCTGATGCTTACATGGAGGAATTCTAGCGAGTCTGTGGCCCCTATCTGGGATCTAGGAGACCTGGGGAGAGGACCAGGGGATTCTACATTTTAGGACCCAGAGAGGCGTGGCTGGCTAGAGGGAAAGACCAAAACAGCTGGATTGAGTGTTCCAGAAGGCAAGACCTGCAGTTTACTGCTCGCAGTCCGAATAGGTTATTTCATTGGCCTTATCTGCACAAGTCTGTCTGCATGTATATTGATCCATTATTAGAAAATTATTCAAAAATATTTCAAAATTTCCTTTGACAAAACGCAGCGTCCTCCACTCTGGCATTTATGTACTTTCTTAAATAATTTCTTAAAATTATTTAAGAAAGAGTGGTCACTAGGGACTCGGACAGGGACAAAGAAGGGTAGGAGTGCAGTCTGGGTAGTTAGTATTAAATTATAGAGCCAGCGAGCTAGCTCGGCCGGTAGAGGCGCTTGCCGCCAAGTCTGATGGCCAGAACTCTATCTCAGGGACCCACAGGGTGGAAGTTGTTTCATTTTGGGTTGCGGGGTGGGCAGGAATTCACACAGTAGCCCACATTGGGCTGGGACTCACTATGTAGCCCTGGGTGGCCTCACAGCACTCCTGCCTCTGCCTTCTATGTGCTGGGATAACAGATTTTTAAAGGAGTCATCATGCCTGTCTTAAAGCATGTGTCTGTAGTGGAGCTCATACCTGGGGCCTCGATCATAAAAGGCAAGCACGCTACCATTGACCACTACTATATATTTTATAAAGAACTAGAAGAGACTAGAAAATGCCAAAGATTACCAACACAGAAGTGATGAATATTTAAGGATACAAATGCTAATTCTATCATTTCACATTTTATGGAGGTATTAAATTATCACAACACCCCATAAATTTGTACAATTAGTATGTGTCCATTAAAAATAAAATGGAATCTAAAAAATGACTCGCTCATGTATTTAGTAGTTCATCTTGCTTACTGTTTGGGCCAGGTGAACACTTGAAGCCCATGTCATGACCTACTTCGTTTCTTGAGTTCACCTGTCTTTAAATTTGCTGGACAAACCTTCTAACCTTCCATTTAAAGGGCCCACTACATCTCAGATATGGAAGTAAGCAACTGGTGACATTTTCATCATGTAACCACCAAGGATAATCTTCGTTTTGATTAACTCACAGTCATTTGATTGGGGGCCTAATTTGTATCTGCAAAATCCCTTTCTGTCCTGTAATGCTACATGACTGCAGCGGTAGTGTTCCTTCATACTTGAGAGTCCTGCTTACATGCAATGGCAGGGAATGATTACACAAAACATGGACATTATAGGACAGGAATCTTGGGAGCTGTCTGAATTATGCTCACCACACTTATCCTTATGAGCCTTCACTGGTAGCCTCCTCAAAGGCCATCAAGGGTCTATCAGCAAGATTCCATTAATATTCCCCTCAGAGTCCTTCCACTTTGACAGCAGCCTGGTATCAAGGCATTCTCACAGTGCAGGAGTTACAGCTGCATCCCATTCAACTACCAAAATCTATGTTGTTTTCTTCTACATAGCAAATGAGTAGTTTAAAATACCCACACACTTCACCTCCACAGTTTCTGTTAGTCAAGAATATGGGAGAACTTAGTCTGGATGATTCAAACCCAGGGATTCTCATGAGGTTACAGTGAAAATGTTGGTCAGTACTATATCATAAAACAATTGAAGAATCCACTTCCAAGGTAGTGGCTTGCTCCCATGACTGGCAAATTAGTGCTAGCTATTGGCAGGAGGCCTTAGTCCCTGCCGCATGGACTTGTCCATGTTGCTACTTAAGTGGCATGCTATGGTGACTGGTTTCCCAAGAGTGAGTAATTTAAAAGAATAGGATAGAAACTGCAATGTCTTTTCTTACCTAGCCTCAGAAGTTAGCCAGTTGTCATTCATACAACAGCTTATTGGTAATGCAAGTCATCCATATATAATATGGGGTTGAACTGCATAAAGGTATAAATGTCAGAAAGTTAGAACCAATGGATTCCATACAGGAAGCTGGCCTCACAGAAGAGAAATGCAAGTAGAGACCATAATAAAACATTGCATGGCAGATGTGGTAGCACACGCCTATAATCCCAGCACTCCGTAGGCAATGGCAGGAGGATTGCTGCAAGTTAAAGGCCAGCCTGGGCTACATAATGAACACCAAGCTAGGCAAAGCCACATGGCAAGACCATGTTTTTAAAATAACTAAACAAAGAGGAATGGCTAAAATTAAAAGAAAATGTTGACTAGGATGAAAAACATTTCACACAGTTTTGCAAAACTTAATATAGTACAACTACTATACAGTTGACCCTGGGGGAGTATTAATGAAAGCTTACCGCATATACTATACAATTGTCATCCTAAAAGACAAATGTATGGGCAAAGACTTTTACACTAGTGTTCAAAGCTTTGCATATATGGAAAAAATGGAAATACCCAAATGTCCATCAATTAATGAATGGATAAATATATTGTGCTGCATACTTACAAAAGACTATTATTCAGCAATAAAAAGTAAGTAACTGGGATTATGGCTTAGTGGGTAAGAAAGCACTTGCTATGTAAGCATGAGGAACTGAGTTTGAATCCCCAGCAAATATGTAAGAAAGACAGGCAAGGACTGCATGTGCCTATAATCCCAGCACTGGGGAGCAGAGACAGGTGGATCCCAGGAGCTCGCTGATCAGGAACCAAGCCAAAAACGACAATATTCAGGATCATTGGGAGACCCTGTGAACAAGGCAGAAAGTGAATGGTAAGCAGAGCACCTGATGCCTTCCTCTGGCCTCCACAGAAGCTCATGTGGGCATGTTCACCCCATCACCACTAACACACACACACACACACACACACACACACACACACAGCCAATCAATAGATAAATATGTTTTAAAATAAATTACCAGTACCTACAACAACATGGATTAGTGTCAAAGGATTATTGTAAGTGGGAAGAGGGGAGCCAGCTATAGCAGGAAACACGCTTTGCAATTTCACTTATACAAAACTCTAGAAAAGATAGATTTTGATATATTTTTCACATAAGTGTGTGTGCGTGTATGTATGTGCCACAGTGCACATATGGAGGCCAGAGGACAACTTTCAAGAGTCAGTTTTTCTTCCACCATGTGTGTCCCAGGGATGGAACTCAGGCCATCAGACTTGGCAGGAAGCCCCATTACCCACTAAGCAATCTTGCCAGCCACAAAGACAAAATTTTCATGACAAAAGGCACATCAGTGGTTTCCAAGAGCCAGACTGATGACCAGAATGACTGAAATGGGAGCAACAAAATAACTTGTAATGAGGAAGATGGTCTCTGTCATTATGGTAGTCAATATATAAGCAGACACATCAAATGAACTGACTTTTACAATTCAAATGGATCCAATTACTGTACATAACCTATATCTCAATAGATTTTCTTAAAATGTAAGTATTTATCTCACAGACTAAACACTGAATAATATATGAATATACAAATACCTAGTCCATGGCCTAGCATATGGAAAATATTGCTTATTCCTTATTTTTCTATTGAAGTTATCCATTCTGAATATTGTGATTGAGAGACTGGTAAATTACTAAAATACGTAAGCACACTGTAATGTATATTACCATAACTTCCTAAGAGAAAATGACTTACTCCATTTGCTAAT